CTTCCTATTTGAGGTTCTCTTAAGGGCTGTCAAGTATGTGTGTGAAGTCATTTTCTTAGATTCCCAGCAGATGGATCTCTTTTAGGTAGAGATTCCCAGCAGATGGAAGGGTTCTTTTTTCCTGTCCCACAGTCTGACTGATACTGTAGTTGGCTGTAAGTGTGTGTTCCTAGCCATGCAGAATTGTTGGATGGAACAAGGTGCTTCTCCCAGGCTAACTTTTGGGGTTTCACTGCAGGGGCTTTTCTGTATTCCATATAGCCTTTTCGCTGCTCCCTCCATCCACCCTCACCTTCAGATCTCAAGTGCCCCTTTTTTCTCCTGGGATTACACCATGGTGGGTAAAGAGATCCAAAATGTCCTTTGGTCCACTTCGGATCTAGTCCAAAGTGTCCTCCAACATAATGAAAAGGAAGAATGGGAGGGGGCTCAGATATTAACAGGGCATCCCAGCAGCTTTTGAAGCTCAGAATTGAAATAGTGCCTTTGATCTTCCTTTGGCTCAACAATAATGGCAAGAGGGGACCCATTCTCCTGGACAGTAGGTACAAAAAGCACACACTGGGTAGTATGTGTAAGGAACACATCACTTTCTACAGCCTCTCAAAGGCCAGAGGAGAAATTGGGAAATGAGCTTGTTAAAGGTCAGCTTCAAAGTGGCTTGTGCCTCTAAAACTCTCCCTCTTAATCTCCATCTAAGGGTGAGTCTATATTGCACTGTAACTCAAAATAAGGTACACAATTTGAGATACGCAAATTGTATATCTTACTTCAAAATAAAACACAGCACCAAGTTTCAAAATAAAACACTATTTCAAACGTCCCTAACTCCTTATAGAATGAGATTTACAGGAATGTTGAAATAGGGAGCCTGAAATAATGGGCTTGCTCTGAAAATGCAGGATAGCTGTTTTGAGATACTCTATTATCTCCTAATAGCATTGCAGTGTAAACATAGCCTAAGGGAGCTAAGAAAGTGGACTTCAAAGCAGCCTGACAACTGGGAGTTGTCAGACACTGCTGCTGGACAACATGCAAGCTGGGAGAAAGTGGTTCAGATCTAATTGCAAACATCTTTGACTTATCTCTACTGTACAAAATTTGCTCTTTTAGCTGTTCATTTGACTAGAACTCTGGAAAAATTCCAGCTCAGAAATGTAACAGGCAAGTGTTCCCCTTACCCATCTTGGAAATGTTTATAAACACACCCCACACTGTCAAATTTTCTACTCCCTGCATAATTACAGTTCTAATAATCTTTCGCTTGTGCTCTAAAGTAATCGGAAAACAAGGTTAAAAAAATGTAAATAACATTGTAACTGGAAAAAGAAAATTGAGTAGATCTGTACAATAAAGTGAGACTGAATGAAAAAGAGGCTTGCCGTTTTCCAACATAAAACTGCAAATTACTGAGTAAAATAATTGAGCATTTAAAAAACAAGAACATGGAAGTGGTCCGTGAAATAAAAAAAACTGTGAGAAAGTATTAAGAAAAAGCACATCAAGGAAAAGTAAATTATTGTTTTGCTATAGAACATCAGCTCCACCTGCTGGTAAAAAAAATCAAATTCTAAATGGCTGTATGCTATGATTTTGTGCAATGTTGGGTTTTTTGGCAGGAAAATATTAAACTCTTCAAGGTATGTGAGTTGGAAGTCCTAAATCCTAGAATCAAAGAAGAAATAATACATTAACATTAAACACTTCATTCTGACATAGTCTGCTGTGACGATGGCTCAATAATGAAAACAAATTCACACTAAAAAGTTTTATGAACTAATTTTTCAAAATTAAGTAATATGGACGATGATATGAAGTACTCCTCACCATGTCTCAGAAGGAGATGTGCACCTTGACAGATTCAATCTTTTGTGCAAGACATTAGTTTCTTTTTGATTAAAACCAGAACCACATGATGAAAAATACAATACTATGAGCTAATCACAAATCAATTCATTTCATTTCAACTCCTCTACTTGCTTATGGGTCTAATAATTCTTTAAGCCTGTTTTTGTCTTCTCTGTATAATGGAATACTTTTTTGAAACAATGACGTATTATTATATTATAATTTATACTAATAATATTCAAAATCAAACTATTTTCTGAATTACAATAAACTCAGTACCTCTATATTTTTTGTCTTCATAGAATTCAGATTCAGACCTCAGTCAATGACACATGGGAAATTATATTGAAAAGGAGGTTTTTAATCCAGTGAGGATTGTTTGAACACAGAATAGTTTGATTTATCTATGATTTTCTATTATGTGAAAAGGGGTAAATCTAATTTTTTTCATAAGTTGTATGTTCTCAGATTCAAATGGAGGGTGTTCACATTAGAGATGTCAACGGTTAACCAGTTAACCACTAAGCATCAGGTGATCACCTGATGTTTACTGGTTTCTAGTTAACTGATGTCCTGGCCTGGCCAGAGCAGCCCCCAACTTGCAGTGGGGCCCCAGCCTTGCTGGAACAGCCCACCATGCTGTGGGGCGTTCTAGCATGGCCAGAGCAGCCCACGCTCAGCCTGGCTGGAGGAGCCTCTGCACTCTCCCAGTTAAGCGGTTAACCAGTTAAACATAATCTTTAACTAGTTAACTGACTAAATGGGATTTTACATCCCTAGTTCATGTAGAAAGACTACAGGATTCGGCCTTTGAAAACTACATAAAATCATGCATGCTAGAGAATCTCCAAAACAGTTTGAGTATCTTTCTGTACATATCGGATAGTTGCTTATCTGTGCACCACTACTCAATGAAATTCCTGGAATTAAAATAAAGGGCCTGATTTTGCTGTCCCATATAGAAAACTCCTCCTGAACACATTGAGGATTACATGATAATATAGCTGAGACCTCCCAGAGATCCAGTTTAGTTATAGTGAGGATCACTTCATGATATTTTAAGGATGAAGAGAATTAGAAACCTCATAATGCCTTTAAAAAAATCAAATTTTCTGTGCCAGAGCATCATCTGGAGAGACTTCTGAACTGAATATAATTTTTGGGCTGCGTCTTAACAGCCAGATTTGTGTGAATTGGTACAAAACTGTATATTTTGTATATCATACCTAATTTAAAAAGGGTTACACTTACACTAACATAATAAATTCAAAAGCAACCATGCTGTAAAGTTGCTTTTTCAGAACATCAAGTGATACAGTAAATGCAGAAGAAGTGACATTTTTAGACTGAATCTCCCTGTGAGTTGATTGCCTAAGTCAAAACCTGCATTATATGGCCAGAGTGAAAATGACCGTTAAGAATTTCATTCCAATACATCTCAATGAGGTTACTAATTGCTCTCAACACTGACCAAGGAAAACCTAAGGCTGTTTCTACACTGGTGTGTTCTTGTGCAAAAACATGCCGCCTGTCTACACTGGCCGCATATTCTTGCGCAAGTAAACTGACGTTGTACTGTAGAAAATCAGGGCTTCTTGTGCGAGAACTCTGAGCAAGAGTTCTTCCAGAAGAGGCCAGTGTAGACAGGCAACATGAATTTCTTGTGCAAGAAGCCCCTATGGTTAAAATGGCCATCAGAGCTTTCTTGTGCAAGAGAGCATCTACACTGACATGGATGCTCTAGTGCAAAAGCACATCTCTTGCGCAAAAGCACATCTCTTGCACAAAAGCACATGCCAGTGTAGACGCTCTCATGGAAGAGTTTTTGCACAAGAACTCTTCCGCAAAGAGTTCTTGCGCAAGAAGCTTCCAGTGTAGATGTAGCCTTAGTGTCAGATGTAGATATTCAATGATTCTCTCTCTCTCTTTCTTTCTTTAAAGCCAACAACCTCTTCAGTTTGAAAAAACCTCATTTTTTGAAGAATACAGAATCTGTCAAAAAAGGGTTTATTTTCGACAGCCATGTCTAGACTGCCGTTTTTTTTTTAAAAGCTCCTTTTCGGAAAAAAGTGGTGGCCATGCTTATGCTAATGAAGCGCAGAATATTTAAATCCCCACTTCATTAGCAATTTCAACGTGCCTAATCTACATCTCTCTGTCGATAGAGAAGTGTAGTCTAGACGTAGCCTACCACTGCCTTAAGGCTTCTTTTAACATACGCCAGTGCAGCTATGATGCTATGTGCTTTAGGCCAGGTCTATATAGTATACTGGTGTAATTATATTATATCGGGAAAAGTCCAGCTCTCTTTTTGGTATAGGAGCATCTTCTCTTAAGCACTGAAGCTGGGCTGTTGCAGTGTTTCAAGTGTGCTTGCCTTTACAGAAGATAGCACTATGATGATGGCAGAGTTTCTCCCATTAGTGTACTTAATTCACCTCCCTGAGACTTTCCTGTTGCCACAGTGCTGTCCGCACAAGGGCTTACATCAGTATAACTACTTTTCTTAGGGTTGTTGGTTTTTCAAACCCTCACCACTAAGCAAAGTTATCTGAAGTTAGTAAGGATTGTAGGATTTGTTAGTTATCTTCATTTCTCCTGAAGTACTGCACAGGATGAAAAATTACTCAAATACAAGGGCTAAGCTGTTAGCGCTACTGACCCATTGTTTGGTGGCACTTCCAGGAAAACTAAAGCAGCGGGGCCCTTTCAATTTCAACCTTAGCTCAGATGTGATTCTCAGTAATGAGTGAAATCTAAATGAGTTTTTGGTTGTCTTGCATGGAACAGGCAATAGAATTTTTTCTAGCTCAATCAGAAGTTATCAATCACCACACACGGGCAGCTGAAATTAAACTCTTGATAAATAATTTAGAGTGAATAAGGTCAATTTTTTTTCAGAATGCGAGTATTATATATCAAGGCACTGAACTTTAAGATACTATTGGTGGTTATCTTTCCGAGCCAGACAATCTCTGAAACATTTGGGCAGAAGAGTAGATGATCGGGTTGTATCTACATAATACATACCAGTGAGGCTAGAAAAAAGTCTAAGCTATACAGTGCCACAATCATTTATTTAGCTATAAATGCTGCATGTGAAAAATACGTTACACACATTTTATCTATATTTTGTAAAAATGCTTCCCTACCTTTAGTTTTCTAACAGCATCTCTCACAACTTCTGTACCTTTGGGCTGTTCCACTTCTGTACTGCCAAGAAACTGAAAATATTGTAATTTGTGAGAAAACAGTGATATGCTGACAGCACAATTTACTGATTAACTTTGTAAACAATATTTTGGAAATACAATTATCTCAGCATTTGATTTTGTTGTCTAATGGTGGATCTTAATATAGCTCTTCCTAATCAAAGGAAATGAAAGCAACAGAAAATAAACTCCTGATTAGAGTAAAAACATCAAAGTTATTTGAAGCAGACTTTGAAACCTATTTTACTTAGTTTGGTCTCATAGAAATCCTCGGATTTTTGGTCAAGTTGTTTTCCCTCTATAGAATATAATTTTACTGTTTTCTTCCTGGTATTGCCATATTGGAAATGTAAGACTTTTGGGAAAGAATGAAACAGTGCGGCTGTGTCTAGACTGGCAAGTTTTTCTGCAACAGCAGCTGCTTTTGTGGAAAAACTTGCCAGCTGTCTACACTGGTCGCTTGAATTTCTGCAAGAACACTGACGATCTCATGTAAGAAATCATAAAATACTGTGCTGCTCCCGTTCGGGCAAAAGTCCTTTTGCACAAAAGCTTTTGCGCAAAAGGGCCAGTGTAGACAGCTCAGATTTGTTTTGCGCAAAAAAGCCCCGATCACGAAAATGGCAGTCGGGGCTTTTTTTGCGCAAAAGCGCATCTAGATTGGCACAGACGCTTTTCCGCAAAAAGTGCTTTTGTGGAAAAGCATCCGTGCCAATCTAGACGCTCTTTTCCGTAAATGCTTTTAACGGAAAACTTTTCTGTAGATGTACATTCTGTAGATGTAGCCTACAAGTGTTTTATTAGCACCAGTGAAATAAGATACTTTCAAGATGTAAATTCAGCGTATGGAGCCAGTTTGGACTAGGTTGCTAACACTTTCATAAGTATGATGAAGAATAATGAAAGTAGTGATTTCACTTTGGCCATGGTCTGACACTACATTGACTTCAGTGGAATAACTTCTGAGTTACACTGGCAAACGTAATTTGCATTAACATGGCTGCCGCTTTTTTCCGGCTTGGAGATAAGCTGGAGAAAAGCGCCAGTCTAGACGTGATTCTCCGGAAAATAAAGCCTTGAAAGTAGGAATAAGAGATCCTCCGGAAAGGGCTTTATTTTCCGGAGAATCACGTCTAGACTGGCGCTTTTCTCCGGCTTATCTCCAAGCCCGAAAAAAGCGGCAGCCATGTAAATGCAAATGCCGCGGGGGGTATTTAAATCCCCCGGGGCATTTCCTATTCCG